AACCGGTCCGACCGGCCGGTTCGGTCCGTTTTTTTAAACACTGCTCCTAATTCACTATTCTAAATTGGTATCAAATTATCCACTATTACAAAGTTCAATAGTGCTATAAAACAATTAGAGAACAACTTTTACCTTGTAGGTCTCACATCTCTTAAGAGACAAGACAATTAAAAAATGTATAAATAGAAGACAATCCTCATCTTACAAGTCTCACATCGACTAGAGATAAAAAAGTATATAAGTTATGAATTTAGAAAAGAAAATTATAGGAATAAATTATTTAAAGTTTTACTAACAATAGATAAAAGTCACTAAATGGATGGAAATGAGACAATTGAAAAAAAGAGTTAATCACCTATACACTTCCAATGTAAAGTTTTTTTACACTAGCAGTCAATCAGAGCCGTTAATAGTATCTTTTCATCTGCTCATTTAATTAAATTAAAATAAAAAAGGTAAAAAAGGCACTATTAACGACTCTGATTGACTGCCAGTGTAAAAAACTTTACACTGACAGTGTATAGGTGATTAACTCTGAAAAAAATAACTTTAATTTAATGGCCTTTAAAATAGCTACTAGCTAGAATTGCCACTAAAAAAATAAGTTTTCCGGACAATTTAATGGGTCTTTACCAACATTTTATATAAATGTTGGTAATAGTATTAGCAACCCTAGATACACTAGTCATTATTTAAATACTGATAAAAAAAATAATGGTCATTTATATGATCGCTAAAGAATAAAATAATGGTTACAAGAGACTAATAGTATAGTGTGTGAATGGTGTTGTACAAAATTCTTTGTTGAAGACACATATCGCTTCAAGTTACTGTATAGCTTTGCCACATGGTAAAAAGTATTAAGGAGCACTCAACAACATTTCATTTTTTAAATCACTTTTGAAATCACGGAAAAGTGGACCAAGAAACTAGAATTTCTGCATCCATTTCATTCCTTACATAATGGAGAAATGTGGTTATTTCAATCAACGAAAGTCTGAATGATTTACCTCTGATTCAGGAAGGAGACATGTTTCCAATCAAGTAATGTAAAACTTGTGACAAGTCAAATTTAATAGTGCTTATACATTTATTCTTTTAGACAATTATTTGTTAGAAATTTTTTTTAAGTATATAGTCTCCTTGTGCAACTGACTAGACAGTTTTTTTTTTTTTTTTTTTAACTTTTTATTGTTTACACAATTATACCCTCATATATAAAACTTAGGTAAAACTTTTTTTTAACTGTGATTGATATTGTTCTCCTGTCGAAGTTTGAGTTTTATCTCGGTAGTATTCACTTGCATTTAATGCATGTTTTATTAATATATATTTGCACATGTCATTGAGGTAAAACTTCAATTTTAATTAGAGAATAATACTAATTATACTTAAAAAATTGTACCTAAATTTTATTTATATATCATTTCATGTACCATTCTTTAGAAGGTGGGATTTTTGTGTCACCTCAATGCAATTTTGGTTAGACACTACAACTCAAATGGTATTTAGCAACATTTAAAAAATGTTACTTAATTATGTATAAATGTTGCTAATTTGTTTTAGTAACATATTATCAAATGTTATATATAGTTCATGTTGCTAAAGACTTTTAGTAACATTTTTGCATAATTAGGTAACACTTTTTAAATGTTATCAAAGTAGTATTTTTGTAACATTTTAATAATTTTTTGTAACATTTTAATGATGTTGCCAAGATTTTTTTAATCATATAAAATAATAATTAATTTTAATTTAAATATTAATTTTAATTATTATATTTCTATGTCTCCTAAACTTCTAAGAATTCCTTAAGTTTTTAGGGAAATAAATTTTTAGTTAGTCATCACTAATTATATATAGAATATCAAATTTCATTTATCTTAAATATAACTATATGAGTATATATACTCTTTATGAGTCATTAATCTATTCGATGTGAGACTTTATTTATGGGTTACAATTAGATATAAGAGAAATATATTTTTTTTACTCGATGTGGGACTTTGATTTTAGAAGCAATTATAGTAACATTTTTCAAAAAAATGTTGCAAAATAACTTATGTAAATTTTTTTTACTCGATATGAGACTTTGATTTTGAAAACAATTGGAAAAAATAATATTGAAATACAAAATTACTTTATCTATAATGACATTTTTCAAAAAAATGTTACAAAATAACATATTTATATAATATATAGTAACATTTTAACAAATGTAAACAAGAAAATGTTGCTAAAAGATTAAAATCTAGTAGTGAGAGGTCATATTTTATCTATATGTCTTGCTTTATGATTCATAAATTTGTAATCTGTTACGGAGTTTTAAGGATTCATTTGGAGGAAATGAAGGTTTGGAGTTAATCCCTTGTTGATCTTGGATCTAGTTAGATAAACTTTCCATAAAAACTTATAAGAGAAGAAAATGCGAAAAAAAAGACAATTAACTTTTTCATAAATTAAAAAAATAATTTTTAGAGAAATAAATATGAAAAAGAATTGTATAAATTAACTTATACATATTTAGAGATATTTAGAAATCAGAACTCAAGCAACACACTATTCAACATAATATATAAAATCCATTGATACACACATGTGGATCTAGAAATAATTAATCATACTTGAAGACTGAAGTAAGACCATTGAGCCATATGCTCATTATTATAATATTTAGGCATGTCATACATAATTAAAGAAATTCAGCTTCTTAAAGCGAAGAATCATATGTAACAATTTTATGTTGTAGGAAATTCCTAAACCAGGTGGCTGAGAGTTTTGGATATCTTTTGAGTCCATTATCATAATCTACAAACCAAATTCCTGATCTCAATGAGTAGCCGAAAAACCATTCAAAGTTGTCATTCAAAGGCCATGCAAGATATCCTTTTACATTCACGCCTTCCCTAATAAATTCAAAACCAACAAATTGGTGAAGCATTGAACATAAATATGCAATAGGTCAATTAAGAAGAAAAAAAACTACTTTTATTTTTTTATTTTTTTATATGATTGCACTTACTTGATTGCAGTTTGAAGATAATAGAGATGGCCATAATAGTAATTGATCCTAGGTGTATCTGTCAGGGCTTCCTCAAGCAAGAGTGTTGGATCATTCAACTCGTCAATTGCTATGTTATTTGTCAGAAGAAAATATACATGAGCATAAACTCATTTTCTTAACATTAATATAAATCAAAAATTAATTTTGCACCAATGAATGATCTTTTATAGATGAATAATGAATAGATTGAAAGAAAATACAATGAGTGTGTTACCATTTCCAGTGATGTAAATCAAAGGGTTGTTGTACTTTGTTTTAATATAGAGCAACAGTTTGTGAATCCCCTTTGGATAAACAGACAACCATACTGAAGTACTCTACAAATACATATATCATTTTTTTTATTGAGCAGAATAATCGATTGAAATGAAGCATTAATATGTAGTTCATAATATTTCATTTAAACCATTCACATACGTACCTTTGGACCAATACGTATCCCGTTACGCTCATCTATCAACATAAAATACATCATGTTATTTTCGTTCTTCAAAGCCAAATGAAAATGAATTACATAATAAATTAAAGTAAAAAAAATTATTTGGTCTTGTCATATACATTTAAGATGAAATCATCTCTCTTCCATTTATTGAAGCCATTTCTATCAGTGAGATCTCATAAAAATGCACTTACTTGTAAGAATAGTAAGAGAATCCGTGAGGTAGCTAGGCATGGATTCACTTAATTCAGATGCATCAGTGGCATAATAGGAAGTGTGGTAGATTAATCCAATAAAATCAAAGGAGCCTCTTACAAGTCTGGCCTGATATGTAGAGAATTTTGGTAAACGACTCTCCACTAGAGTTTGCATGGAACTTGGATAATCTCCTAATGTTAATGGATCTAAAAACCTGAAATACACATGTTATGCTCTCTAAGTAAATATTATTTCATTGTTGTAAATGTAAATTAAAAAATAAGTAATATACTAATGATTAGTCATCTTCTCACAACAAAAGGTCAATGTTTAAGATATAATAGCTCCACGTGTGATTTTTGGTCCATAAAGTAGTTACCATCCAAGCATGAAATCAATGGCTCTTTGTGCAGCTTGGTGATGATCCAATTCTGTATCATAGAGAGGTACCATCCAATGAGAAACTAGTGTTATCCCTATCCATCCCTTTTGAGAAGCCTATGTGCACAAAGTAAAGATAAGTTTTAGGTCTCAATATATTAATATTAATTCAAGAAATGCATACACTTCATGAATTGAATTTTCAAAGTATAAATTTTTAGCAAAACCTAACTTGATACTTAGTCCTGTAGATGTTAACAGCAGCTGCATGAGCAAGTAACTGATTGTGAGCCACTTTATAGGGTTCAGTTGCTGAATCCCCACCAGTACAATTTTTGTTTTGCCAGGGTGAACATCGTCCAGGTGCGAAAACCCCCTTAGCATAGCCATGATCACTAAAAGTCCATGGATCATTCAATGTAATCCAATACTTCACTCTATCCCCAAATTCCTTAAAGCAAAGTTCAGCATAATCCTGAAAATCATTCCTAGGATAGTGATAGGAAAAAAAGTTAGGTACAAGGATTTTTAATACATAATAATTATATCGAATATATTAGTTGTTAGATATGTTAATATTACACTATATTGGGACTTAAAAAGCCACCGTATTCATCTTCTAAAGCTTGAGGAAGGTCCCAATAAAAAATAGTCGCAAAAGGTTGAAGACCTGCAATGGTGGATGTCAATTAAAGTAACTATTTCACTTTTTAGACCTAAATACCAGTGAAAAATAAATAAATATTTAAATGACCTTTGGCTAGCAGCTCATTGATGAGATTGTTGTAATAATTAATTCCCTCCTTGTTTACACCTCCACTAAGCTTTCCTTCTAAATTAACCAAGAGATTCAACATTTAATTGAATGATTATTCATTGAACAAATAATTATTTTTCATTGAAATGAGATTTAATGAATGGTAATGAGTAAAATTAACAAAGTTTCATGTTTCTTACTTGGCATTATTCTGGACCAAGAGATGGAGAATTTATAAGCATCCATGTTCATGTCTTTCATGATCTCAATATCTTCCTGCATTATCAATTAATTATGTTTTAAGAAAATTCTCAATTATGCTTTGTATATGTTGTTTTATTACATGTTCATTATATATTGCACCTTATAACGATGGTATCCATCAATGGTTACATCTGCATTACTTCTATCCATTATCTTATCTGTCATAGATCGAACAGAATATAATGGAGTTCAGAACTAGTGGCATCTCAAACAAATGTAAAATAAATAATAAAATTTAAACTAAATAAATCAATATGCGTAAGTCAGAATTAATAAATAATTATGTTGTTTTATAACCTTATGAGATATTATTAGCTTTTTTTTTTACAAATTAATAAATTTTGAATGATTTTGTGACTTATAATTATTTTATGTTTTTCATTGAACACATTTTCTACATTATTCTTATGTTAGTTATTTTGTTCTATATTTGTTTATATCTTTTTAGTAGTTGATCGCAATGAAAGTAAATTGTGCACAGATGTATGAGTTAATTACATATATACTATTCGTATAAATTTTTTTTTATATTGACAATCAATCAGATTTGTTAATAGTGTCATGTTATTTACTTATTTAATTAAATTAAAATATAAAAAAATACTATTAATAGATTTGATTGGTTATGGTGTAAATAAAAAAAATACTATTAATATATATATATAACACACCCTTCAGCCTACTCCTCACGTGACGTTCATTTTTTGCCATGATTTTCGTCTTCTGAAAGAGGACGTACCCAATAATTCACGCATTCTATTGTTTTTATACTGGAACTTTTTTTTCTTCTAAATCACTCAACAGTCTAATCTGAGTTAGGACTATTAAAAATGATTATGTTCACTTTTTGATTATTTAACGCATTGACATATTCAGAACTCAAATCGAAAATAATTGATTAAACTAAAATAATCATACGTCAAATGATCCACACTAATATTATTACTTTTTTTTTTTTTTTTGCTGAATACACTTATATTATTACTACTCTCTTTCCCATCGATCACTTCCTTTTAAAATTATTGATTGATATTTAAAATTAAGGCACGAAAATTAGAATATAATTTCTCTTATTACTTTTATAAGAATTAAATAAGAGATGTTGTTTAATTCTGTTTCTAAAAATTGAATTTAAAATATCGTATTTATTAATTTGTTAATAACAATGTTCTTCATGCATTACTAGAAAAATGTCATTTTTTTTGCGAATTTTCCTACAAAAAAATATTCGCAGAAATTTTTTACAAATATTCCTGCAAAAAAATCTTCACAGAAATTTTTTGCAAATTTATTTACGAAAAGTAATTTACAGATATTTCTTACAAATTTTGCTACAATTTTAATAATCATAGAAATTTTTTTCATGGTAAAAATTTACAGAAAATATTGAAAGAATTTTATTTTTTTTCTTGCAGATTTTCTTGCAAAAATAAATTCGCAAGTAATGTTTACTAAATTGGTAGAAAATTTTGCAGGTAACTTTTCTTGTGGATTTTCCTACATATTTTAATCCTCAAGAAAAATAAAAAAAATATTTAAATTTATAAGTTTAATATTTTAAAAAAACTTCAAGTCCCACATCGATTGAAAATAAAGCAATTAAAGAATATATAAGTTAGGGCAACACTTACCTTACAAGTTGATTTGTATGGTTGAATATTAAACTTATAATCTACAATCTTAGAATTTAAAAGATTATGTATCACATGTTGGAGGCATGGAAACAAATGTTTCGGATGAATTCATTGTGAGCATTTGAAAGTAATTATTGATAGAATTTATAGTAATTTCTTTAATTTTTTTTCGTAAAAATATTCCTGCAACATTTCTTGCGAAAAAATTCGCAGAAACTTTCCTGCAAATTTTCTTGCAAATTTTTTTTGCAGGAAACTTTCTTACGAAATTTTTTTTTGTAGGAAACTTTCCTGTGAATTTTTTTTGCAGGAAACTTTCCTGCAAATTTTTTTTTACAAGAAACTTTCCTGCGAATTTTTCGTAAGAAATTCCGTAAGAAAATTTTTTGCAAATTTTAAAATTCGCATAAATATATTATCCACGAAGGTATTACCTGCAGATAAAATTTTGCAGAAAAATTTGCAGAAACAATGTTTCCTTCGAATTTTAATGAAAAATTCGCAAGAAAAGTCGCATATATAAAAAAAATTCTAGTAGTATGAGTTATTATTATGAATTTAGTTAATAGTAAGTAAAATGTATCAATACCTTAGGCTTTTCATATATGTAGAACATTTTAGAAATATTAATTTGCCTTTTCACACGCATAATAAATAAAAAGTAAAACAACAAACTTACTAATGATGATAGAGATTAAAAAAATTAAATCATAATAGGAAAAAAATATTATCACTATTAAGTGTAATTTCAGAAAATATATTACTTAAGGGTCTTATTCATTAACTACCCTTAAGACATTGGTTAGGGATCAATAAGTATAACGTTTTGAAGTTGAGATTACATTGATAATTATTGTGGAATGTATTATTATAATTAAAAAAAAAAACTAACTTTGGGCTCCTTAAGTATTATTATAATTAAAAGAATTAAAAAAACTAACTTTGGAATGTATTATTTTAATTTTTTATAAGACTCAATTAACAAATTTATAAGAATTAAAAATTAATTATTTTATTTAATAATATTAAATTTATCATAAATTTACATATTTTTTTTCAAAATTATTCTTAAAATAAATTAGACATGTTCTTTTTTTTTTTTCCAAATATTTTTGTTAACTTTAATTCTTTTAATCTCTCAATAAATGTATTATTTTAATTTTTTAGACTATGCATATAAATAGACAAAGTAAAGTTCCCAGACTTCTCTCTATAGAAGACGAAATTAAATTCTCAAAAAAGTTTAACAATATGTCATGGCCGGGAAACCTATTTAATTAAGTTGATGGGAAGTTCCTCTCTTTCCAATACAGTAACTAGAAGAAAATGTATGTCGGATTCAAGTTCAAATAATAAAAACACACTAGACATTAATGTAAGTCTACTCTTTGTGGTCGTAAAACAAAAGTTTGTAAAACTTATACAATATTATTTTTATGTTTATTTTTTTTATTACTTCATTTATTATAAAGAGATATTATTAATGATGAAGATAAATAAACACAAAAGTAATATTATAAAGTTATTATAAAACTTTTATTGTACATGTAACATTACTATTTTAGAAGTATAGTAATACTTTAGTATTGATGTGAATAGAAAAAAAAAAAAGAAGTTAAAGAAACTTGAGATTTGTTGTATAAAATATCAATAATTTTAGAATAATAAAAATAGTAAAATAATATTTTTTTATCCCATAATAAGTATCATATTAGAAGAAAAAATATATAAGCCCTAAAATAAATATCATGTTATTTTTTCAATATAATATTAATTATATATTTTTCATTTATATTCTTCATAATATCTTTTAGAAAATAATTTATGTTTCATTATTTCTAATAAAAAATTAATCATAAGATTAAATTTCATTAAAACTCTAATGCTTTTCATCTCTTTATTTTTTTTTTGAAGGGGGTTTTTCATCTCTTTATTATTATTATTTTTTAATTTGTGTAAACATAACATATTGGTCATACAAGAGAGGACCGGCTTAGAGTTGATACTCGATACCCGATAGCCTAGGGCTTACAGCTGAGGGGGCAAAAGAATAGACAATTTTGAAGATGATTTTTATTAATAAATTAACTTATTTTTCACCATTCATATTTTTTTTTTTAACTTTTTAACTTTTTATAATTTGCGATTTGGTTTTTAAAACTCAATATTTTTTTAATTCTACTATGTTTTTGTTGCTGCTGATTTTTTCTACTACTTTTGCTGTTAAATCTGTTTCAAATTATACTCATGTTATAATATAATGTGATATATATATATATATATATATATATATATATATATATATTCTTCATTTTCTAATATTATACTGATGGCCAGAATCAAATCTAAGTCTTAAGATGAGTTACGCCCCCATAACACCAGTTGAATCAACCTAAATAATTTATAGTTATGATCAATAATAATTGAGCTGGTTACGAAATTAGACTCAAATATACAAAGTTCATAAAAAATCTACGTTCAAAATTTAGATTTATTTGATTCAGTCTCCGTAACATATAACGTGTTGATGTGTCATATATATTTATATTTAGCTTAGCTATATATTTTGTCCTTATTTTCTCAATTTTATAAATTTAATTTTTTTTTTCAAATTTAATCCCCCTTTATTTTAATATTGTACAATTTTGGTGTAACATTTTTTTTATTAGTGAGAAGAAAAAAAAAAAACAAAAGAAAAGAAAAAACAAACTAACTACCCTTAAATATAAAGTCTCCATTGTATCTCCCAACAATAACGAAAACATGAGTTGGACAAACGGATTATAGGACTAAAATGTCAACCAAGATATTATCGATCTTAGATAATCTAAAAAATTCTAAAATATGATTATTATTATTATTATTATTATTTTGTATAAACTACATATATCCTCTATTGAAGATAGTTTAGTTTAAGTTAGGTGAAATTATTATAAATTAATAATAAAATTATTCTTAAAAAAATTTAATATAATTATACATTCAAGATTTGAACTCAAAATCATTAATTAAGTTAAATAAACATGTACAAGTTGAAAACATTGATGTTGAACTTTGAAATTTTTAAGACACTAAAGTTCAAAACTTTCATGTCTGATTGATGTATTTAAACTTTTAAAACATTAAAATTTTGATTTTTTTAGAATGTGTAAACATTGATATATTAAAAATTCACCTTTTTATTTAGAATGCTTGATGTTGTTATAAATAAATAAATATATATATATATATATATATATATATTCCTTTTTTTTATCTATTTTCTTTTTTTTTTTCATGTTTTAGATAGCATAAAAGAGGAAAGAAAAAGAAAAAAAATTGCAAGATTTTTCATGTTTTAGATAGCATAAAAGAGGAAAGAAAAAGAAAAAAAATTGCAAGATTTTTCATGTTTTAGATAGCATAAAAGAGGAAAGAAAAAGGAAAAAATTTGTAAGATTTTAATTTTTTTTCATCAAAAGGAAGAATACCTGGATAATGATGAGTGAAAGTATCCCATATACTGGGCCCTCTGCCACCAACATTTGCTGCACCTTCATACTGAAATTAACAGGCAATATATATATATATATATATATATATATATATATATATATATA